AAATAAAAACAGCTGGCTTCTACTAGCCCCCTGGTTAAAACCAGCTTACAGCTTCCCTCAGGTATCCAGAACAATAAAGGCTCAAGAAAATATTTATGGCTGCATTTCATAAATGATATTAAGAGCAAGGGGATATCAAAAAGATAATCCCAAGAGCTCTGTGGAAAGACTGGGTTATTGGTGCTAACACTACTGGTTAACACAGATGCCCTGATATCAGGAGCTAGAAAGAGCTGCTGTGAGCACGGCAGCACTGGTGTCCGAGGGTTGGGAATAATCCACTGTGGACGTAACTCTGCATCTACGCACATGCAAGAGACAATAGAACAGGATTATAAAATGGTTATAACAATTTATACCAAAGCTATATTATACATTTTGCAAGACTCTTGCAAGAATATACTTGCACTCTGTTTAGGGCCCTAACTGTAACAAGCTATAAAATGTAATATACACAAATATCTATGCAAATTATTTTACATCTATTGGTAGATAAAAGAAAACTTTGCACAAATATAGGAAAGTGGTATAACCATACGAAAAATGAAATTTTATAGAACAAAAGCATTTAAATAACCAACTGGGGGTTCTGGCTGTGTCTTTTGGTTGGTTTTGTTTATTTGGCTTGGAGTTTTGGGGGAATTTTTAATAATAAACTGACACAAAAAGGTATTAAAATTTAAAATGCTCCTTGCAACATTTGCTGACCTTCCAAGCCACAGTACTCTAAGTAATCCCAGGTCAATACATTTACTCAGAATCACATCAACTTTTGTTATTTGCATTCTTCTTGTATTACATTGTATTAACAACTGAAGCTCATACCAAACTTCTTTTGGCAGAATCATTCTAAGTCATGGATCCCTGTCCAAACATCAATGTCAACATTGATTGCAACACTCGTGATTTAACGTCACAGGAATAAGCATTTTAGAAGAGGACATGGGGGCTCTATTGTGCTAAATACAGCATCCAGATATATAAGAGCAAATGGTGCCTTGTCTCTCAGATATCACACCAGACTTTGAGAAAAAAACTATGAAGCAATGAACAAACAAATGAAGCAGGAGCCACAAACAGAGCTGGCCAACCAGGGACCTAATGGTTAAACCGAGTCCTTCTGCAGGAAAAGTGGAGCTGGTAAAGATCTTTAAAACTTCACTGTCATAATGTTGCTCTGACTACAACCTTCCATTTAGTTTCAAGAGCGGCTAAAACTTTTGACATTGTTGGTGTTCACTCTCTGTAGTTACATTTTCATTTACATTAGACTTTATCAAGGCTTCAGCTGAGCCTTGTAATTGTTAAATATATACAAACTAAAATAATAAGACACAACTAAATACAAAGTCATATGGCTGCCAAAAATACTAAATAGACTTTTCCCACAAGGGCAGCAACTCATCATAATAAATGGGATTTGAATAAAAGGTCAAATTTGAAAGCTTGTGGGAAAAAAAAAAAACCCTACAGTTAACACTATCTGATTTAAGGAGCACTCAGAGCCCAGAAGGCCAATCATGTTCTGGGCTGCATCAAAAATGTGGCCAGAAGGGTGAGTGAGGGGATTCTGCCCATCCATTCTGCCCTTTTGAGACCCAAACCGGAGCACTGCATCCAGCTCTGGGGTCCCCAGCCCAGGAAGGACATGGACCTGGGACAGGTCTGAAGGGCACAAAGATGCTCCAGCCCTCTGGCCACCTCTCCTGCAAAGTCTGAGACAAATACGACTCTTCTGCCTGGAGAAGACAAGGCTTCAAGAAGACCTTATAGCAGCCTTGCAGTAATCAAAGGGGTTTTTAAAAAAGAAGAGCGACTTTTTATATGGGTGGCTAGTGATAGGACAAAAGGCAATGGTTTTTAACTGAGAGAAGACAGATTTAAATTAGATATTAGGAAGAAATTCTTTACTGCAAGAGTGGTGAGACACTGGAACAGGATGCCCAGAGAAGCCGTAGATGCCCCATCGCTGGAAGTGTTGGAGGCCAGCTTGGATGAGGCCCTGAGCAAGCTGTTCTAGTGGGTGGCATCACTGCCCACAGCAGGGAGTCAGAACTAGATGACATTTAAGGTTCTTTCCAACCCTCTCTATTCTATGATTCCACTAAGATCTTTGGACATCAACAAGTACAAAAATTACATCTATAATTTTCAATTAGTTATGTTCTCTGAACAGAAATGGTTTCAGCAATTTTCTTTTGACATAAAGAAATGTTATAAATATTGAACTTTGTATTAAAACCACTTAAAAGTATTAGCTATTAATTAATCCTGATAAGTTATTCAGGATAAAGCCAAAATGGGAGAATAGAGTAGTATTTAAAAGAAAATTCATTCCTTCATGCTGAAATTCCTTAGTATGTAATAAGAAAAGAACTCAAATTGAGAGTTAAAACAAAAAAAAAAAGGAAGTATTAATGCATTAAATTAAGGTACATGAAAGGGACTCCTATTCAACAGGGTGGAAAATACCACTCAAGTTATTAAGTATTATTCCTTCCCTGCTCTGCTTGAAACCAAAAACCCTACCTCACTTGACTTGGGACTTGAAAAATCTTCCCAGGTCTCAAAAATATCAGTAGTAGTAGATGTAGTCAATACGTCTTCTGACACTGAAGCCCAATGAATTCTCCAGAGATCTGAGGTCACCCACGGTGGAAAACTTTATCTGGACATCTGAACATAAACACTTCTGTTGCTTCCCACAATTTAAAAGTACAGTGAGTTAGGAAGAACGACAAACATATTGATCCAAATTCAAAATGGGAGAATTTATGGCAGGAGAGCTATTTCTTTACACCTATCAGCTCTTAAAAACAAAGTAAAACTCTGAACACAAAGATGACAGGAGGGTCTGCAGAAAAGTCACTACATAACAAACCACACCTTCTCAGAAAGCTGCCCTAGCTACCTGTTGGGGACTTTGCAGAGTCAGTAACATTGCTAACCATAATGCTTTCTATGGAGACTGTGAAGACTGAAAAAAAACTTTAAAAGCATGACAGTTTTACTCCATGTAACACCCTCTCAGATTCCTCTAGCTCCTGGCTTCTACTCCAAATATGTAACGTATCTTTTAACATCTAAACCTAACGCTTGCATTTCCAGAGACCTTAACAGGCAGCTGATGTGCACACACACACAATTACTACCCACAGTGGCAGTGAAATAACCCTCTTATTCTGTGACAGGTTTGACTACCAGGCACAACTCTGCAAACAGTGCCAGCAGTAAGAAAAACAGAATGTTCCCTGTATCTTTCAAAACTAACCCATACCAAAAAATAAGACAAACTTGATATGCAAAAATGAAAAAGAAAATAAGAGAAAAGAAGCTACATTACATCAAGCTAGGGGCTGAAACAAAAACTTACCCAAAAAAATCTAAACTTCAGCAGGGGGGATGGAAATTAGAACCAGAACTTGCATTTGGCTTTTCTGACTGTAACGAACCAAGCCAAAAGCCCATATCCAAACACACCTCTTCTCTAGGAGTTTGAAATCTGGACTCAAGTTTTGCAGCCTGGCTTTCTTTGCCGCCAGAGAGCAACAGCACCTGACAAGGGACTACACTCTCATACAGGAACAATTAAGATATATGCACAGTAATATGGCTAATTGCCCACAGTAAGCTTGAATGAAAACAGATAACAACAATGCAACCACACACTGAAGCTCAGAACCTTGTGTGCTCCAATTCCTCGATGGATGCACTCTGGAGAAAAAAAAAATTAAATGAAAATTCTTTTTATAAAACCTCAATCCGGGAAACTTATCAAATCTTGTCTTGCTGTACTAGTCTGTTTTGCCAAATACACTTCCAGACCTAACAAGAACAATCTTCTCCAAGCTGTTCTTAATTTCACTCACATTTATAAAATCAGTTTAGACTTTGCATCATCTCTGTTCCTTCTCTAACACTTAACACGTATGCTTGCTCTACTGTTCTTCCTCAAGTCAATGGTAGTAGAGGAGAAACTGTTCTTGCACAAGGCAGACTAGAGATTGTTCTCAAAGAGAGGTATTTGTGGAATTCTGTAGGTTGTTTATACTCAGTTCAAATTCTCAGAAATGCCATTTCATAACATATGCTGGGGGCAGGGGAAAACGTTTAGCTGTATTTAAAGACTGAATCCTCCAAAAGTAGCTGCAGAAATGGCACAAAACTTTGACTTCCTCCTCTTACTTTCAAGGAAGATATCCATATTTCAAGGCTTCAGCTATAATATCTTGAAGGAAGACCAACAAGTTAAACATATTACACTGTTGAATCTACTGTGGAGAAGCTGAAAACAACTGTAGCACAGACACACAGGATTTTTAATTTTTATTTTTAAACCAGCCTCCCATAGAATCTATCACATTGTCACCAAGACATAAGCATTAGCTTTGCCACTGACACTCAAACATTCTGCTCTGTAGAATGCTGGAGAACATATTAACACTATCCCAGACCATCAGCCTCCTTTCATGGAACCTTAAAGCTCTTTTGACACACACATTTTGACTTTCATTAGACTTTTCCTTGTGACAGCATTGTTTTAATGAGGGTTTTTAAGACATTGACACTGTGATAATGACAAATACATGGCCAAGATCTGCAAGATGTGAAGTAATAAACTTAATATGCTACTAAAATATAGCAGTTAGCTGTCAGCCAATAATTCTTCAGATCCCATTCCCGATCATGAACACAGCCTTTTTCAGGTGCCCACAAAGGCTGTGACAAGATAGATAATTGAAGGTTCTTCAAAGAACCACCCAACCATCTGACATCACTGTCAAATGCTATACTTCCCTGTGATATTTGACATGCTTTAAGGGTAATTAGGTTAATACAACCTAATTTGAGCATGCAACAAACAAAAAAATAAAATCATTTTATTGGTCATTACTGTCAATTTGGAACACAGCCAAGTCTGATTCATACTCCACAGATTTGCTTCTTGGAAATCGATTCTATATATTTGTTCTCTTTCAGACATGTGGAACTCAACTTACCAATACAGGCATGGACTCTCACAGAGAGCTGGGTCCTCAGAATTATGCTGTGCTTCTTCCCTCTCCTAAAAAGAGAAGAAAAGTATGTAAAGGTATAGTGAGGAAGAAGAGGAACTGGAAATAAATAAATCAAGTTGAGCCTACAAAAAAAAAAAAAAAGGTGGGAGGGAAGGGAAGACACTAGAAATTTTTTCTTTGTTTCTCACAATCCACTTCCATTTTAATTTGCAATAAATTAACTTTCCTCATCAAGACTGTTTTGACTACGATAGCAATGGTTAGGTGATCTCTCCATATTTATCTCAGACAACAAGTTATTTTACCCTATTTCCCCTCCCTTTTGCTGAGGACAGGGAGCAAGAGAGCAGCTGGGCAGGCATCTAGATGCTTGCGAAGGACAGCTGACCCCAATGAAAACTGGATTAAAGAAGTATCAAGTGATGACTGCACATTTTCATTTTCACAGAAATACTTTAATGCTAGGTATAATTAAGCATTGAAAGAAGATCCAAGGTTAAACAAGACGTTGTTGACACTTTCACAGATCTGCCTGCTTATATAGCCTAATGGGTTTTTAAAGCACAAAAGTAGGTATGTTTTTCATGCAAAGAGGCAAAACTGAGGTCCTTTTCCACTCTGACTCCATATCAGGCTTAAATGGAATTCCTATTTTAATTAGCTGCTAAAAACCTCATTTGGTTTTCAGTCAAATTAGCTTTAGTTGCATTTCTTCAACCTGGACAAGAGCACAGTTCTTGATTTCTAGTGTTACACCTGCAAACTGGCATGAGGGCACTGACAACACTTTGTCTCTGCACCCAATCCTGCTCACCTGATGGAGGGTGGGAGGGTAAGAAAAGCAAAATGTATTTTATGCTTGTACAGCAGCGTATTCTCCCTCGTTTTTCTGAAACTAAAAAGGCAGTTCCTGGACAAGTGGCTCTAGGAGGTCCAGATGACCTCCAGAGGTCCCTTCCTACTCAGCCATTCTGTGATTCAGTGAATTTGTTGAGGGAAAACACTCATAAAGGCACACTGTTTTTAGAACACAAAAGGATGCAGCTTAGTTTGTGTCATGCGAACCAGAGACCCAATTCTACATACAAGTTAGAGCACAAACGAGCACAACCTTTCTCGGTTACTCTTTACACAGACACCCAGCAGAATCTTATTCTTGATGTAACTGAAAACATTTTTCTAGTAACAGCAGAAGTTCTTCCCCACCATATTGTTTCCCTACCCACAGTTATTTGGAAGAACAAAAACATTTTTCATTATTTTCATGAAAAAACAAAGCAAAATGTTTTATATTACTTCTTTGAAAGATCTGCAGAGGAAGAAAGGAAGGGAAGTAGTGACAGGTATTTTCAGAAAAGTATTGCCCCTAGGAAAATATAAGGGAAAATAAAGAAAATGATGGATCTGAAAAATAGTGGTTAATGTTGACCTCTGTACCTGCTAATAGAGGACTTAGTTTCAATTTCAGTAATCTATTTCTCTATAGATTAGAAAAAAAAAGTTAAACAGGGTTTTTTTTTAAAAAAAAGCCAAACCAAAAACCTTTAATGAAAATTACTCTTCAAAGGAGATGCTTGTATATCATTAGTGGGCAAAGTGTCACCCTTCTCTTAATAACTTGAAGTGCCAAGCAGCAAATGCTATTGCCCCCATGAAAGCAGGCTGTAGTTTGGACTGTGAAATTCCCTAGAGCCGTTCCAGGTTTAGGACTGACTCTCCCCACCTAAACACCTCCTGTTATTCTGGTAGGACACAGTCTTTGCTTGCATTCATATTCTGCAGATTTTTAATGGCTGCTCCTCCCCACAGGAGTGCCAGGACTCCTCTGGAATATTGAATTTGTGAAGTTAATGAAGTATTTTTGACCACAGCTCTTGCCCTTTGCAACATCTGATTCTGTACAGAAGCTGCTTCTCTTGATCTCCCTTCCTTGATGGACTTGTTGATAGACCTGACATACACAGATCCTCCAAGATAAAATCAGAAAATGGAAAAATTGAGTAAAAATTGTTTATTGCAGAATTATAAAAGGATAGTCCAGAATTAGCAAAGAAAAAGGAAGTCTATATAATCAGACCTATTATTCTTCCCATCCTGAAAAACTGATCAACTAAAAGAAACAGCTAATTTAACAAATAATGGCCATTACTATCATGGCACTCTCTAGTGTTTTAGCAGTCTGTAGGATACAATGACTTCACCAGTGCTCTGCTGCAATCTACACATCTGTGGTGATTTGCTGAAAGAACAGACAGCAGGTAGTGCCCAGCCACCTGACAGTGAATAAACACAAGGACCTGAGAAATCAGCACCATTTTAAGGCCTGTAAAGATTCAGGCCCATTACAATTTAACATAGTTTTTCCTCCTTTTCTAAAAATCCAATGCACAGTGTCTCTCAAGGCCTTTTTTTTGTAGCTCTCCAAGCTTCAACAGTAGTGCTACTTCCTCCTCTACCTCTCCTCCTTGCAAAGACACCTGAAAATTTAAAGCAAAATGTAGAGCAAGCTCTCTTCTACAGGCTCTGTTCTACACTATCATAGCAAATGTAGTATCTCCCAGGACAGAATGTTCTCACACACACAAACATTAATTTTTATCTCCTACTGGCTGCCCTGGCCATTTTTCCAGCTTACCAAAATCAGTATGATTCAAGCCCCAGATGTTACGAACATGAAGACTCACTTATGATGGTTCATTTCTCCCACTTCCCCATAGGCCACACTACGATGATCACTACAGAGGTATTTCATGGGGTTTAGGCATACTAGGTTTACCACACAGCAGCCAATTATAGTAAGACCATTCATATGTAAAACATTAGAAAAGACGCAATTTCCTGATTAATACTTTTGACTATCATGCAATATGAATAACAGTTTTGCAAAATGAAGATCACCTCTGAAAATTACTGCATCCATGATTCTACACACACCAATTTCCTGGAAAGCATATTACAATAATAAGTTAAAAAAAAAAAAAAAGGGTAACTTGAAATCCATCCATGATTTCACAGACTCATGAACTACTGGCCAAATAGTATTAAAAAGCATGCCTCTAGGCAAGCCTGTCATGATATCAGGACAGGGAAGGAGGGTACCATGGGACAGGCAGGCTATTTGCATTAAAAACAAAGTAGGTTCAAAAATACACAGAAGAAAATACTATTTCCAACAAATAAGATTAATTTATTAAAAACAAAACCTAGACATGTAACAGTTTGTAATATACTCTTAACAAAGGCTTCTATTTTTATTGATATTACTTTTTTAAAAAAAAATGTTTTGGCAAGTGCAGCTGGCTACAATTTATTTTAAAAAAATCCAAGAAGTATTTCACAGAGTTAATTTAGTAGCTGAAATTTAGCGGTAGAAGAGTAGGTACATTTCACATATTGTGCTGACATAGCATTCTTTTGATCTGCGTTGAGATCAGAATCATTACTGCTATAAGATTAACTTCTAGTCTTTGGAGTTACCTCGACACAAAACCTTTTCTTTATTCAATTTCTCTAACAAATTAAAGTAAATAAGCATATGCTAACAGCTCACTGAATGCTTGTCTTATGGAATATATATGCTTTATTTTGTCATTGTTATGTACCTCATTACAAATAGTTTCACTCAATTATACATTTTCAAGTTGTGATTTAAATGACATTTTGAAAATATTACCTCAATTGACTGTCTTAAACAGTTACTTATTTTGAAGCAAAACCTTTGTCTGAGCTAAGCAATCCCTTGACCAGAAGGAAAATACCAAGATTGTTATTGGGGGTACAGAGGGGAAAAAGCATTAACAAACAAAATAATAATCATTTAATGCCAAAACCACACATTAAAAGAAACCAACACAGTCTCCTCTTAATGTTTCAAGGAAACTTTGAAAGGAAATTTTAAAAGCGTCTGTTTTATTAGGACACGACATTGTTCTTGGACCTATACTAAAGACCTGCTGGTATCAAAAATGGGACTTTTATGTAAATATCTAATTAAGATTCATTAATGTTTTTAGCAAGACAGACCACAATAATTTCCTTGACAAAGGTAATCTTTGTAAAATAGGAGAATGCATCAATTAACATACAATTTCTATTTCAATGTTTTCTTTCTTTCAAGAAGTAACTATTCAGACTTGCTAATATTCTTTTGAAGGGCCAGATATCTCAATTCAATAAATTTAGCCTCGAACAATCCCCTGATTCTGAAAACACATTATTTTATCATTTAAAACTGAAGTAGAAAAACACTTTTCTAACTTTCTTAGTGATTGCTTAATAACTCAATAAAGAAAATTCATTAGATTAAAGGTGTTAATTCTACAAAAGGCCATGCTGTGTCCTTCTGGGTTCCTCCTGTTCTGCTTTCTACACAATACTTGATAACCATGGAAAAAGCTACAGTTTTATAGCACAGCAGCAAACAAATTGCAACGGCTTTAATAATACTCTATAGCCACACAGACAAGTAAACTTACTATTCTTCATTGTATTTGCTCAAAAACTAAAATCTGTCACAGACATCCGAATCATGAAGAGGCCACCATAAGCAGAAGTTGAGTCCAATGCTGTTAGAAGCCATGATTTTAGCTCACTAACAATTGGATTTTGGTGAGCTAAAATTTTAATTAGAATCTTCTCAGTTAATGTACATAAGAGTGTGTCTACTCTTAGTTAGGGTCTGTAGACCCTTCTATTTCAGAAATATTTAAAGCATATAAAAAAAAGTTACCCCATGAAGGCAGACTTGGATTTCAATCTTTCATGCAGTGCTACACACATTCATAATGGCAACACAGCAACTAAGAGTGATGCATCTTGTTAGGGTGACTCTGTTTTTTTCGTATATTTTTTAAATAAATAAAAATATTATAATAGGCAACTATATAATATAGAGCAGTTTTCAAGTAGCATAGTCTCATGAGTCTCATTGTACTCTGTTCCAAGCAGGGATCACACCCATTAAGATTAGTGTTATCAGTCAGTTGTAGACAGAGATAATTCTTGAGGATAACTTAGAGAGAAAAATTATTTGCTGTGCTAGAAAATG